ATATATATTCTTTTTAGAAGCTGATGGCTCAGAAAATTTATGTTATTAGCCAAGCACAGGCAAACTTTTTAAATTTTTATAACTTACCTGTTTTGGAGTAACATATCTTGATTTCCTTTCTTCTTGTTTCTATTTTTTTGGACAGAAGCGGTGACAGAAGGAGAAGAATGAAAAATGGCTGAGTTCTTACAACTTGGTACCAACAATTTCCGTAAGTTCACTTACGAATCCTTGGCTGCTATTGAAAAAAGAATTGCTGCCAAGAAGAATTGTCGAAGAAATACTGTAGACCAGAAACCTGAGGAGAAACCACGTCCTCAGCTCGACCTACAAGCTTTCCAGAAGTTACCAGCTCTCTATGGAAATCCTCCTCCAGAACTCATTGGGGAACCACTGGAGGATCTCGACCCATACTACAAAGATCACAAGGTTAGAGCCAACCAGCTTAGGTTTTAATTTGTTTTATTGTGTTGCTAAGAAGTGTTTATGTTTATGATATATCAAACAGTTTTGCTTACTTACCTTTAGAAAAACTGTCGTCCCTTTCTAGCTTACAATAATGCACGCAGTGGGCACAGCTGAATGACATGCTGTAATCTTTTTTAAAAAAGTTTAACTTTGAATTATAGGAATTAAATAGCATGAACTTCATTAACATTTGAATCAGAATGGAAGCAGAAAAAGTAAAATGGATAAAGGAAGAAAAGGGGGTTTTGAGTCAGATCTACAAGAAATTATAATAATTTTGTAAATTTGCTTAAATTCCATGGTTTGAAACAAAATGTTCCTCACTATCTCAGTGCTTATACCCCACCTACATGTAAAATAAATGATCACCTAAGTATAAAAATTATTTTAGAACATTTACTGATGAATCCTTAAAACCTACTTATTCAGGCTCCATATTCTAATCATGAAGCATTGTAGAATATGATTTTCAATAAAGAACAGAGAAATGGGAACTAATCCACTGGAAATTAAGCTTATTGCTTGAGAAATGGTTAATACTGTGAACTAATTTCTACAGTCTTAGAGCTGGAGGATCACTATCAACAACAGCAAATAACTATAAGGCTGCAGGTCTTCCTCTGCCTCTGTATATCTTTACTCAATGAGGTGTTCACTTTATTTTAAGAGAATAGTCATAAGCAAGATTAATTCTGGGTATAACTCCTTGCAGGCCCTAAGGTTTAAATAAAGAAGTTCATGTTGAGGATTTTTTTGCAGCTTGATGGTTAATGGGTATTAACTCTTTCGTCAGTTTATGATGAAAGGATAGCAGCACATTACAGTCTTCCCATTTAAACAGACTAGAGTTAAAATCAAGCTTTTGCTCATCACTGATACAAAAATATATAGTAGAAAATTATGTTCTATAATCTTCCCGAAAACTTTACTTCATGGTTGTTTTTTCTTTTTTTTTTTTTTCTTTTTCTTTTTAAGGTTTTCATAGTGCTAAACAAACAGAAAACAATCTTCAGATTTACTGCTACACGTGCCTTATGGATCCTCAGTCCTTTCCATCCAATCCGAAGAACAGTAATTAAGATTTTAGTACATTCATATCCTTTTTTAGACTCCATTCCCTCTCTCTTATTGTAAAAACCTATGCAATCCTGTGCTTTTATAGTTTACACCATTGAATGAATCTAGTTTTTTCCTCACCCCAGATGACTTCTAATTATGAATTACCTTAGAAATTATTATTGTCTTGGTGCTCTTGTGCTACTTAGGAATAAATAATTATACATAAACAGTGAGAAGACTAACATGGTCTCTATCCTCTTCTCTCATCTTCTGTTTGCCCAAACTGTAGGAATTAAATTTAACTTGTGCCAAAGTTAATCAACTATTGTCCAATTTTCAGAAGACAAGGCTGAGATAGACAGGTACATGTATGAAAATGCATAGAAAAATTATACAAATTTAGTTTCTTTAGGAAATCAAGTGAAAAAAAATGTATCTTTAGTATATGACAGTGAAAATTTTCAGGGATGCAGTTGCAGGGTGTGCCTTTGGAATATAAAGGTAACATAAATTCCACCTCATACATCAAATTTAAGGAACAGGAATCTTTAATCTATTGCTCCAGTTTGGCAATAGGGGGAATGAGACCAGAAAAATAACACTCTTGCTTGGGGCTGAATCAGGCCCGGTGCAGAATCTGTGGTGTCCCTGTGTGTATTTTAGGTTTCCAGCCCTCTCCTGACCACGCAGTGCTGAGTTAGCTGCAATGGGTCCGAAGTTGTTGTAGCTGGGTACAGACATCGCTGGAGGAGTGATACCTCTCATCTGAAGCTTTCCCTGGGCAGCAAGTTGGCTGGTGGTGGCATTTCAACACTTGCTGTCCAGCTCTTGGGTTTGTGACAGGTTGACCATGCCTAGAGCTAAAGCCAGGGAAGTTTTTTGTGGGGACAGAGAGGATGGGTAATGGAAAGGCTAGATGTATTTCCCATGCACATCTACCTCCTGGGTTGCCAAAACAGGTGATATGGCACAAGGCATGAGATCCATCTCCAGTGCCAAGTGGTTAAGCTTGGATGTCTACAAGTGAGCTAGATACCCAAGTTCTTGTTCGTACCTGGTAGTCAGCAGGTCCGAGAGAGCAGCTGGGCAGCCCCAAGAGTTGGCTAAACACAGGCATCTAGTGTCCTTTGAGACAAGTCTGCAAGTTTCCCATCAGACTTCGTGCTGTCGCTTCTAAAGAGCGCAACTCTACCAATTTAGAGTCAGGTTTGGGCTTCACCTGTGTGACCTTGGGCAGGTTTTTAACAGTTATGCTATAAAATGAAAATAAATTCATCCTTCCTCCCACACTTGGAGTAGTTGAGGATCCTTTATCCTTTACCAGGTTTGCAATGCTTAGAATGGCAGATCTCTAGCCCATACAGAAGTCTGGATGGCATGAATAACAACAGTAGTGTGTTGTCATCTAATATGCCCTAAAATCTACAAATACTTCTGCATGCTGTTCTTAAATGTGCTTTAAACTCAAAACCAGATTCTATGTCTCTGACTGATGGAATATCTAGTTACATTTCTGAATCAATGTCATATTCTTTGCCTTCACTCCCGTGACTTACATTGTTCACTTGGTTTATCATGTGCACTATTATAACTAATTGTGTGTTCATGGCTCTGACTGAGTCCTCTAAGGCTTCTCCATCTCCTTCGTGGAACAAGTATGTTGAGTAAGTATCTGTGGGTACGTATGTTTTTTAATTCTGTAGTTATATTGAATTATTGAGACTTACCTTGCTGCCTTCACTCAGAATGATTTATGGGTGGTTTGGAAGAAAAGTTGCTTGTGTTAGGACTTTTTGCAATTTTTTTTTGTGTGTTTAAACTCAATATCTGCAATAATTGTGGTGTTATTGAGAGTAGGTTAAGTTCCGCTGTTGGACGAGTTTCATGTCTGTCCTTCTGCTCCAGTTATTCCACTTTCTGAAGTTACTCAGTAATTATTTGCTCTTTATCCAGAAACATTTCCCATTGTTGCTGACACTGATGCAGCACATCAAGAGCTGCTGCCTTTTAAAATTCTTTTTGATAATATTGTAACACTGAGTATTTGCTCTCATAAAGTGTTCTGTCAGAAGCTCCTTGCCTGCAGGACGTCGTTAGAAAGTAAAGCTGTTATCTTCAGCACTGCCGACACTTGAAATGTTAAATCACTATAAATCCATGCCTTTGCAGTCACACTTAAACTGGATAATCCCATGTTTTTATTTTCTTTTAAAGCATATTTCAGCTCTCACTTTTTCAGTTTGGCATAAAAATGTTAGAATATGAACCCTGATAATTCTAACACCTAACATAAAGGAAAAGATCCCAAAATACTTAATTTTTAAAGCAGCTTTAAAGCTGTTTCTATCTCGTGATACATGACACTGAAACAGCTGAAATCCTCATGCAAGGCTCTGTGCGGTGTTAACATACATATCTCCAGAAGACACTGGGATACTTCCCTACTTACCAGAGCATGAAGGTTAGATAAGAGTTGTATCTGCTGTTGGCATCAAAACTACAGTTCAAATGTGTGTCAATAATAATTTCTGAATACTTCTTTCCAAATGAAAAGAGAAGCACTACATGCATATAATTTCTTAGTGCATTTGCTGACTACCAAATGAATGCCTTGTGAATTCTGCAGGGAGATCACTCTCTTGTTGAAACCATAAGTGCACTCAATAAATCCAGAAGAGCTTTTACCAATAATTTTCCATTAATAAGAATAATTGCTATCTTAAATTGAAAATCCTGTACTCTTGTATTTCTCTAAGTGTTTTAAACATTCTGCACAGAGATGGATGCTGTGTGCTCGAAGTAAATAATAAACAGCATATCGCATGTTCACTTGGTCACTTGAAACCTGGGGGAGATAAAAATTGTGATCGGTATTTTAGCAAGGACCTAGGAGTTTTGTGTTTCTCAGATTATGAGGACTCATATGAAAGAGCTTGAAAATAAATCACTGAATGGAAAAAAAAAAAAAAAGTCACAGATGTGCATGTTAATAGCCCTGTCCAGATTGCAGTCAACTACTGTCTCAAACAACATATGTCATACTAATAGGATACCCTAAAATCATCAGCAGCCTTTCCATTACTTTTCTGCAGCACTAGCTTGGTTTGTTGGCCTGGACAATAAATAGTCTGACTGTCTGTTAATTGCTAATATTGCTGTTTTCCTTTGGCACTTTTCTCTCTTCCTTAGATTTACTTTCACTGGCATTTACACTTTTGAATCATTGATAAAAATATTGGCAAGAGGATTCTGTCTAAATGAATTCACTTTCCTTCGAGATCCCTGGAACTGGTTGGATTTCAGTGTTATCGTTATGGCGTAAGTGGGAACATATAAAATATAGATTACCTGCACTTGATGCTCTTGTGGTGCCAAAGGCTCTCTTCAGTACAAAAAAAAAAATCCCTGTGGGTTCTCGCTGCATCTGAAACTATCTAGGATATTGACTCTTCCCCTTGTTTTATTGCTCACTGTATAACAACAACGTATTAGTCTTTCAAGAAGGGAATAGAGTTGTGCAGAACACGAGATCCTCTGCGGTGAGTGTCTGTGAAGGGATGTGTTTGAACCAGTGCAATGTGATAGCTGGGCTGTCAAATACAGACATCCTGGTTCTGTGAATGGAAGTGTAAGTTTGAAAATAGAGCGATGGATATAGACACCAGGACAGTGGATTAAACTTGGGTTCTTTATCTCCAAAAATCATTGAGCTTCAGTTTGCAGTAATTAGAGAGATTTTATACTGGTTAGGTGCAGCTACAGAAGGGAGATCAAACCAGTTCAGCCAGCGTTTCAGCCAGAAATGGATAATTTTGAGTGTTCTCTTTGTTTACATTTTAAATGCGTAGTATTTTAAGATGCTGACACAAAGGCAGCTGTGCACAAGCAGAAGGCTACTTCGTAAGGTAACTCTAATAATCAAGAAAGGGGTTTCTATTTTGTAATTCTTCAGACAAAACCTTGATATGTAATTTATTAATACTTAAAATATGGTTGTAAGGATTGACAGTTAAGGATAAAAGGATAACTACTGTAAAATAATTGTCCTGTTTACTCCCTTCAGCCCCTTGACACATCACATCCTGACTTTACAGGTACGTGGGAGCATTTAGTACCCTGGGGAGCGTGTCAGTCCTTCGGACTTTCAGGGTTCTGAGAGCTTTAAAAACCATTTCAGTAGTCCCAGGTAAGAAACTGTATTTGCTGAATATTTTCTGCTACTTGCAACCGATTCTTTACTCCAATCAAAATGTTGGGGTTTCCTTTTTTTTTTTTTTTTTCCTTTATTTTCTTTTCCTCTCTATCTTTCATTGGTCACAGACACAGCTGAATTCATGGACACAAATAGTGTCTCAGTCCATCTGGCCCAACCAGAATAAATTGGGAGTTAGAAACAATCTTGTACTTAATTTATTTTCATTGTGCTCTTAAAGATTTTGTTAACAATTTATTATGCCAGTTTTACAAATGTTCTTCTAGCTGGTCTATGTGTTATGGTTCAACAGAAACACCTCTGGTGGCTGAATGAACTTTATTATTAATGATCTTACATCATCCCTGGGAAAACACTTTATTTTTCACTTTTTCCTTACTTACAAAGCCAGTGAATTTTTTGTCATGACTAAATATGAATCAAGAGCCATTAGGTTGCCCCTATCTTCTCTTTCTGGTCTTTTTGATCACATTCATTATTGTTTCCAGTGTTGGAAATTTCATTTGAATTATGCATATTACTCTTTTTTTGGATAAGAGAAACTGGACTATCTCTGGTGCCTTGTGCCTGCCTAAGAATCCTACAGGGACTGAAGGAACATATGAAATTTGTAGTGTCAATCAAAATGAGGGAAAAAAACACATTATTCTCAAATTACTCTCTCTTCCAAACTATACTTGCAATGCAAACATATTTTCCCATATTATCCAGTAATTTTGGTACTTTGGTTGCTGCACGTTGTTTTAACTCAGTTAAAATCTCAGCTTTTCATCCTGTTTTCCCTTTGATTATTGTCTTCCTAGGACTCAAGATCATTGTAGGGGCACTTATCCAGTCTGTTAAGAAACTTACCAACGTGATGATCCTGACCGTTTTCTGCCTGAGTGTCTTTGCTCTCATAGGCCTCCAGCTTTTTAAGGGCAATCTAAGACAAAAATGTGTCAGGAACTCTACGGAGTTGAGTAATATCCTTCATTTCCTTGAGAAAAAATGGGAATCCTATGAAACATTTGCTAATTATACAGGTAATTTTTCTCTTTTATTCATTCCTAGATGATAGTATAGACAGCTCTGCATGCATGTATAACCACTGCTGTAAATGATGCTGATGTTTTGATGGTTGGTATTTTAATAAGTAACTATCTGATAATAGCCTTCAGATTGCCAGAGCAGCTTGCATCCAGGAATGCACCCCTGCCCTTCATTATAAGAAGCAGCACTCCCAAATTTTCCAGTAATATCTGTTTCCCAGAATGATACGACAATAACTGAAACATGCATTAGCTCGTTCTCTGCTGTAATTCCCCAAAGTTCACCTCTTACTACATGCTGAAGAGTTCGTACATCTTCATTTTGCTGCCCTCTTCAGCCTGAAACAGAAGAATTCATTTAAAAGTTACTTTGTTCTTCACATCACATGTATTTGATATATGTGACATATATTTTGTCTTACATAAAACATATATAATATACATCTTTCATGGCTGCATCTTGACTGGGGCTGGTGATGGAAGCATAGAGCAGAGATCTGAAAACACAGCAAAGCATCCTCAGAGGAACAGCAACTGTAAGATGCCAAGGAAAAGCTTCAATATTCACGATAAAAAATATTCTCAAACAATATCTACGACAGAAATACAAAGAAAGCTTCACCACTGAAGAAAATCTCCACCAGCGAGTTCAGACATAGCAGCAGTTATATTCAGAGAGAAACATGCTCCCAGGGGAGATGCTGCAGTCCATGAAAGAGCCACACAGGATTGCTGTTTGTAGACACCCCGTGTAGGTGATATATTCAGACAGGATTTCTTTAATAACTTCTAGTCCAGGGGGAGAAAATCTTTGTATAAAAGATTTTTGTCGAAAAACTTTTTGCAAGAAACTCTTGTACCTACTAAAAAAACACACATATAAAGCAAAGTTATTTACATATACAGAGTGATGTAAAATTCATAATTGAAAGCAACCTTCAAAAGAAACCAGGCAGGGACTAGGACACCATGCAAGAGACCATGGATGTGACAAACTTGGGCTAAAAATAACTGTTTTCTGTTCTGAAGAAACAGGAAACAAAAGCATCTGAAGTTCGTTTTGGATTTGGTTGGTTGGCTGGGTTTTTGTGTTTTTGTTTTTTTGTTTTTTTTTTTTTTTTAATGCAGAACATCGCAGTTGTGTAAAGGCTGGAGAAAGTAGGGCTCAAGAAATTTAAAATTTGTGTGTTGTTTCACACTTTGTCTTGTTCACATCCTGTGCCATACGTCTTGTGTGCAGGGTGATTTGCAATGAGGGCAAGAGGAACAGGAGGTCCCAGACAGGTTTAATGAAAGTTGATGACTTTCCTACAGGATTTAGGACTTATAGTACTATACACCCAGTTTTCTATGAAATTATTTTTTTGTATTATTTTTTTATGGGCTGCTTTGGTCCTGATTTTGTAGGAAGTTACCGTCTCCAAAATGGAGAGCTACATGCTTTTATGAGCTCTGAAGCTCAGCCACTGAATCTTCTTTAGAAATCTTTTTTTTCCGTTGGCAGGAGCAGAGCTGAACAAAATTTGAGTGGAAAGTAGCCCAGATGGTGACTCTTTCCTTTGTGGTGTCTATACATGGTATGGTACAGCTGATACGAAATATTCCTGCTAGCTCTGAATCATACTGACTTACCTGATGAGCAGAGCTGAGGTTTGAGAAGCACCAGGAAGACATTAGACCTGTGGGACAATAAATCCACGTGAGACCTGTGGGATAATAAACCCACACCTTAATGGGGCTAATCAGCTGTTAGCACTAAAGCTATTACTTTCAGTGTGCTGGGAGCTCACGTATCAGAGTAACTCCTGCTAAGAGAAATAGGGGAAGAGGCCAAAAAGGGCACAGCTCCAGCATCCTGATGGAAAAATCTGTGTTTCTCAACTAAACGGGGTTGGGACCTGCTGTTTGGCTCAGCAGGGTAGTGGCATAGCATGGTGTATATCCACACAGCCAAATACTCTTTCCTCCTACTCAAAACAGAGCTTTGTTTTCTGTTGCTCGTGCTCATTGGAAACAGAACTGGTCTATGCTACCCCCAAATGATGTTTGTATGCTGTCCTGGAGAGGGCTAATTTCTATGGACCAAAACTGTGCCAGACTTTGTGCTAATGATTGCCAAACCTCAGACTGTGCTTGAACCTGTGCTCTCCAATTCTTCATTTCCTTTGGGCAGATGTGGTCAAAGCGATAATATTTTTAAAAATTCTGTTTTAAGGACTGCCTTGAGTCTGAAATTTGTGCATACACATACGCATGTTTATAAATGAGGACAGGACATCTTTCAATCTGGTTCAGTTACTGTGGGCGTGGCAAACCCGTCTATGTGTGTGCACATACTCTTACCGGTCACTGATTACTCATCGCCACTCGTATTAAAGGATAGAGGATTCAGGCTGGAAAGTGCTTTGTTTTTAATTTTTCCCCCCCTTTTTTATAGCATACTTTGCTCTGAAAGAGGGCACCTCAGACATTTTGCTATGTGGTCCTGGTGGTGGGTAAGTGCACTTAAGAATAATTCTTCTTTGGAAGTTTTCTCTGCCTCAGTATTTCTATATTCACTCAGCTATATGAGGCAAAAGCAGAAGTTCCAAGCTTTCCTTGAATGCAGGAACAGGGACACAGACAACAAAATATAGTAAACAGTCAGATAATTTAATACTTCGGTGGAATGGAGCATGACCCTGCAGTTGGCTTATTCAGGTCCAAATTCCTTTGAGCCTTTGCAGAAGTGCTGTCCTTCTCTTACTCATGGATGTACGAGAGAACTGGTAACATGACAGATCTCAGCATGGGACAGACACCCTCCTCTCCATGAAGGCTCACGAGTTTTAACCTGGAAAAAAACAAACCATGGATTTTGGAGGGCAGGTTTGGGCAAGGAGGGAGATGCCGCTGCTTTGCAGCGAGGGGCAGGGGATGAGGAGTGGTGATCAGGGGGTTACCCTGGCTTGGTGGTCTATGCCAGCCTGCCTTCTTCCTTTGTTGCTGGGTTGTGGGTGCTGCTTTTTCCATCCCACTTTCCAGCCATTACTACCTGGAGTAGAAAATTGGTTTGCAATCTAATGAAAAGCAGACCTGAATAATAATCAGAACTCTCACATAAACTGAAGTTTTCCTTGAAATCTGCATGGTTAAAAGAGCTTCACTTCTTATTATTACTTCTAGGGTCTGTCCTCCAGACTATATATGCTTGAAAACTGGGCCAAATCCTGACTACGGTTTCACTAGTTTTGATACGTTTGGCTGGGCTTTCCTTTCTTTATTCCGCCTGATGACCCAGGACTACTGGGAGCGTCTGTACCAGCAGGTACCAGCTTTGTGCCTAATTCAGAAATAGTCTTCCAGGAAGAGCAATAGCCAAAGAAGAAAATGTGCAGAGAGGACAAGAAACCTCAAATGAAAGCAATAGCTGCAAGTCATCCAGCCCACATCCTCCCTTCTCCCTTCGCACAAGCTGCGTGACTCCTAGGAAAGGGATGCTGAAGTGCTTCCCAGCAGTAGCCCTATCACCCTGCTGGTTTAGCGTCTTTAAAAAAAGTGCTGAAAGGGTCCTGTATTGTCCTTCAAAAATATAACAGTGCCTCCTCAGCTGTCCTTGTGGAGTACGTGGTCACTGATTCACAGGCAATGGTATAGAAAGAGGAGGAAGAAGGGCCAAGGAAGGTATATTTCCATTTAAGCTTCCTAAAATGTTGTGTCTAGGAAACTGAGTGCTTCTAAAGAATTTCAGAGACACATCAAAAGCCTATTTGATATTTTTTATGGTAATTTTTTTCTCCGGGGTGTGTTGCCTACAGACCCTCAGAGCTTCTGGGAAGGTGTATATACTGTTCTTCATGCTGGTCATCTTTCTGGGCTCATTTTATCTCGTCAACTTGATTCTGGCTGTAGTAACAATGGCATATGAAGACCAGAACAAGGCCACCATTGCTGAAACGGAGGCAAAAGAAAGGAAATTTCGGGAAGCCATGGAATTATTACAGAATAATCCCATGCAGGAGGTATGTAAATTATTCCCTTGCAAGCATTCCCTTGCAATTATTCCCTTAGTCTCAGCGGTCTGTTGTCAGTCACATAAGAAAAAGCATCACTCCTTGTGTCCAGCTGTATATATAGTCATGGGAACAGGCACAAGTGATAACTTTTTGAAAGTAGTTATTCCTAGAGCTACAGGAGCAATTCCTTGGTCAACTGTGTATTTTTCCTGTGAAACAATGAATTTTATTGTGGGTAAGGAGCGTGAAAGGCTGCTGTTACTACAATATTAGTATTAAAATACTAATGGGATTTTAAAATACTAATAATATTGTAGTAATTTATATTAATTTAATTTTAAAGTACTAATGGTATTTTGAAATCCGGAAAACGTAAAATTCCATCAGCTAGAAGTTTCCAAAAGAACATGTAATTGTTTTTCAATTTTTTTTTATTTTATCGTTGTGAACAGTTGAGCAGAGAAAAGCACAGTAGATCTGTTGATCAACTGCATTAACCACTGAGACATTGTAGTTGAATAGAAAGTCTCTTGGTAGCTTAAATGACTTTGAAGCTTCTGGAACAAAATACTCCTGTGTCTTGAAAATATTGTCCTAAATTCAGTGTGGGAAGGAAAGTCAGCCACAGTGTGAATACAGTCCCAGGGATCCCCAGCCCCAGCATTTTAATACTGTTTGAGCATTTATTTGTGGAAAAGGATATATTCTACAGCGTTATTTTCAAACTGAGTATCTCTATTGTAAGCAAAGCTGCCGTATGGAGGAATAGGAGCTATAAAATGATTATTCTGCCCCTGGCAGGCCCAATACATGTGATCATGTAACGTACTGTGAATAGCAAATTGTTCAGTGCTCCGTATCCTGGAGAAATTCTCTCCTCTTTCTTTAGTGTTGTCACAGATTGAGAGATTTTTAAGGAGCTTTGTGAAACACAAATTGTTAAGAGGAAATAATGCAGAGCAGAGAAGTGTTTTCCTTCTGCTTATGTTCAAAGAACCCAGCAAAAATTATAATCCATGCTTTTGTTTTAATTTCAGTCATTGGCTATTAAAGGAATTGATATCCTGTCAATTGGCTCCTTTCAAGCATCTCCTCTCTCTACCAAAGAAATGAAAGAAAGAAGCAATAGGAAAATGAGAAGTAAGTCCTTGGGGATAGAAGATGAAGAAGAAGAACAGTTCGCCAAGTCACAGTCCACAGACAGTCAACGAAAGTTGGTAATCTATTGTCTGAATCTGAGATCCTTACAGCTTTTCCAATTTAAATACTAGAATGAATTGCTTGAAAGCACAAACCAAATCCCATTAAAAACACAGATCACTCCTAAGTCTTTAAAATAAACAACCTTTTGGGATAAGGACAAACTAGCTGTAAAAATTGATTAGAAAATGAAATATAATAAACAAAGGATGGAAGGAAAGTTATAGTAACAGTTAAATACATTTTCCATAGCACTGAGAAATTAAAAAAAATGAACATCAGAATTTAACTTTTTTGCATTGTCATTCTCTGTTAGAAATTTCTTACATAAAACATAAATACAAAGGTTATAATGGAAATAGCTGCTGCAGATGATAGGATTTTATTATTTGCCTTTTAAAATTTAAGCGTAATCCTTCCTGAAAAATCTAAAGTAAGAGTTTTGGACTTGCAGTGATTGATAGAAAATGTTACAAAACCCTAAATATTTATTGCTTCCCAAAATTTTCTCTATGATATTACGCCGTTCTCTATTCCTTTTCCTGGGCTTTTAGTCTTTCCTTGGCCTGGTGTACAGTCCCAATGCAAATCAGGAGAAACGCAGACTTAGCCATGGGAGCGTGTTCAATTTCCAAATACCTGCTGTAGAAGTTGGTTCCAGAACGGATTTTGGCAATGAGGAGACCCCTAGTGCTGGGGAACACGAAATTCAGTGTCCATCACTGTTGGTCACACAGTTGGGAAGGTGCTCCAGCGTGCAAAGTCAAATGAGCCGTGGCTCCCACCCTGGTACCCCAAACTGCACGCGGAGCAAGCGGGCTAACGCAGATGACTGCAACGGGGTGGTTTTGGCGATGGGAGGAGGAAGCAGCAGAGTGCACAGCTTAGATCCAATGTCTTCTGAGGGAGTCATGCTTCCAACAGTAATAGAAGACCCAGGAAAGGGTGATCTGGTGAGTAAAAGACATTATTTTAAATATACACTTCATATTATGGTTTCTCCATGAGTGGCAGTTTTTTCTTGTCTTAAGAGTTTCAGTGAAATGGCAAACAGTGATGTGAAATGCAGCACACCGAAGGGGGGAGTTTATAAGTTGTCAGTAGAAAGTGGTTACCAATACTCTGAGTTCCCAAAAAACTGGAGTTCATTGTTTCAGCACTCTCGTTGTAAACCCTATTTTTCTGCTTTGCACAACTTGTACTGACACACTTTTGAAGGTTCCTGGTGCTGGAATTACAAGTCACCAAAGAGTCTTTTTATCCCATGCTCTGTCCAGGGCAGTAAATTTGAGCAATACCTGTAACTTCTTTCTCCTTCACAGCATCTTTAGCATTGTGCTTTGTCTGTAAGTTCCCCAAGTGGGTAGAGATGCTTTTGTACCAGTTTATTCGGAAAGGACCTTCAAGATCATCGAATTCCACCCCCTGCCACGGTTAGGGACACCTCCCACTAGCCTAGGTTGCTCAAAGCCTCATCCAGCCTGGCCTTGAACCCCTCCAGGGATGGGGCATCCACAGATTCTCTGGGCCACCTGTACTTCCCTGGGCAACTTGTCTATCTCCTTTTCCATTAGTCTCTGGAATATTTCCTAGGCCTATTTCCCCTCATTCACTTATTTCCAAGGTTTGTGCTGGCCCTCTTGCTATTACGTGCTTGCGGGATCCATTTACTGCAGCATTTCTATTGCAGAGTAGGACCTTTGTTCTGAGCCTCTATTACATCTTGTAAAAGGTACATTTATTTGGTTGCGTGTCATCGTTCCTATTAACTTCCCTAGTTACCCATCATCACATCCTACTTCATTTTATTCCTGTGGTATCTTCCTAATCATCTTTGCTTCTTTAAGCAGCCAGCTGTAAATGATGAGAGCAGCATGATGCATTTGCCTCCTCATCTGTCGGTGGAGTACTTTAATGAGGCACTTCAGAGACAAAGGGCAGCAAGTGCAGTCAGCGTAATTACCAGTGTCTTGGAGGGTAAGTGGTTCCTCATTATGCTTATTGCCATCCTAAGGTAATGCTGGCATGAAAGACCAAAATGTCAATACATTTCTTAAAGGTTAACAGAGATTTGTAAGTGTGTAGTTAGGAATTTCATCATTAATTAGGCTTTAAAAAAAAATATATTATCACACAGTCTTTATGTACTGGACTGCAACCTTTGCCTAATGTAAAATCTTATTTTGTGGGATAGATGGTGAAGGGGATTGGAGTGACGGTGGGTGGAAGGAGTTTCTCTAGCATCTGAGGTGCCAGATGGGGACACTTCTTCTCCTGACCCTCTGACTGGTGATGTGTCACTGGCAGAGACATACACATGCAGGATCTAACAAGGAGATTATGCAACTGAATTAGTTGCGGTAACTTCTGGGTGTTGAATATTTAAGCTCACTATTTTATTCCTTTAACTTACCTTTTTATGTCAGTTTTTGGGGGGTTTTATCACTGGGGGTTATTATGCTGAGTGATAGTTTTGTTGCAATTTCTGAAAATTTTCAGCCCGAATTGTTTAGTTGTTTTCTGGACCAGGAGACCAAGATGAGAAAGGCTTTTTTTCTTTTTTTTTCTTTTTTTTTTTTTTTTTTTTTTTTTTTTGTCAGCTCATCTGATCTTTGAAAAATTTTCAGGTCCCAGAAAAACAGATGACTAATAATTCCTACTGTGCTTTTATTTAGCTTCAAGTAAAGATCCAGTCTGTCAATGAATTTACACAGGACTTGAGCAGGGTCAAAAGTATTTTGTAGAACTCATTAATATTGATGGTGAAAAAAGAAAGGCTCTGAGATTTACATTTGACCAACAGGATGTAAATGACAAAGCCAGAACAGCCTCTGTCCCGTGTTTACCTGTAGGAAATGGAGAGGTGCGGCACCTTGCATCGGCTGGGATGTGGTAGCCATGACCTTTCCAGTAGAGGTGGCCAAATGCCAAATTTCAGGTGCTGTAGTTTGGATTTTCCTCAACTACGATGAGAATGGCTCTGGCTGCCCTTGAATCTAGACTTCCTTGACTGTCTGGACTCCCTTGAGGGTCAAAGGAGATAGAGAGATGTTGGGTGTGATACAGGTGGTGTCTTAGGCATCTACATGAGGGTAAGGTGAAAAGTGTCTTACTGCTACACTGACTATCAAGAGCTTCTAGTGTGAGAGGCTCTGGTGTGGCTTCTGCATCATAAACATCTGAATTTAGTCAGCTTGTAGTACAAGTCAGAGTTTAAGACAAATAAAACTTGACCCAAAGGCTTTTGAAGTAAATTCACATGAATGAATTTTGATTCTAAATTTTTCTGAGTTTTATCTTCATGGTTTTTAGCTGATGTAGGGACTAGATGAATAGTGGAAAGTGCAGGGAAGCTTTGGGGCTTTGTGTGAGATGTGAGGTTTCCTTTTTCTTCTCTGGTCTTTTGAGTACTTGAAGTTATTATTTCACCATCTTGCTCAGTGGTAACTATTTAATTATAGTGGGATTTTCTTTTGCATTTAGAACTCGAAGAATCCCAGCGGAGATGCCCGCCATGCTTGAAAGATTTAGCTTTAAAGTATCTAATTTGGGACTGTTGTCCGCTTTGGTTGAGAATCAAGAAAAAAGTGGCTGCTTTCATAAAGGATCCATTTATTGATCTCACCATCACTGTTTGCATTGTGATGAACACTTTGTTCATGGCACTGGAACACAATAATATGTCAGAAAATTTTAAATTGATGCTTCACATAGGCAACTTGGTAAGCAAATTTTCAGCTATGTGACATTTTATCCTGAGGATGGATTGATGGGTGTTTTCACTGTCTACAACTACCTAAAAGGAGGTTGTAGTGAGGTGGGTGCTGGCCTCTTCTCTAAAGTAACAAGTGATAGGTCAAGAGGAAATGACCTCAAGTTGCACCAGGGGAGGTTTAGGCTGGATATTAGAAAAAAATTTCTTCACTGAAACAGTGCTCAGGCATTGGAACAGGCTACCCAGGGAAGTGGTGGAGTCGCCATCACTGGAGGTGTTCAAGAAACATGTAGATGTGGTGCTTAGGGACATGGTTTAGTGAGTTAGGTGGTTGGTGTTGGGTTGGACTTGATGATCCTTGAGGTCTTTTCCAACCTTAATGATTCTATGATTCACTTGAGACATAAAGAATAACTGTAAAAATTAAAGATTAACAAGCTCTGCATTTATAAACTCTACATTTCTAGTATAGACAATTGCCAGATTTTATTGATATGTTTCTAACACACTCCCTTAGAAAGCAGAAAACAATCCTCCCATTTTAATGGAAAGTACATTAGAAGTTCATAAAAATGGGTTTTGTTGACCTGTCCATGAACATTACTGTCTTTGTGAACATGACCTACAGATAAGATAAATTCATGGCAATTTTTAGGCTGATGCTACTGTTTCTTTGTCACAGGTTTTTACAGGAATCTTCACTGCGGAAATGATCTTAAAAATTATTGCTCTAGATCCCTATTATTATTTTCAGCAGCCCTGGAATGTTTTTGACAGTATAATTGTCACGTTGAGTTTAATTGAACTGAGTTTACCCAGACACAAAGGCAAGAAGGAAAGGAGAAAAGGAGGAACTCTGTCAGTTTTACGATCCTTCAGACTGGTAATGCCTCACACTTACTCAGTTGTATAAAACATTATGTTGTGAATATAATAGAGAATGCTTCTATTGTCTGCAGTTAGGATGCAGGAAATGATTTTTTTTCCCCTCCTCCCAGCACTAGGAATAAGCAACACACTCTTAAATTCCGTGTGATTTTAGAGTCTGAGTGTAATGACAAATATAAGAAATATTCAGATGAAAAAATATTCCAGAGTAGATGTGCTATAAAACAGATGTCAAAAATGAAAAATTAGCACAGGAAATTTTGGAAAAAAGTGTCAGAGTACAAATATAGAAAAACAATACTTAAAAATAGATATGAAATGATCTTAAGGTGTTCGTATCATATACTGTGGACCGATTTAGATTGCTTTACCAAAAGATAGACTCTTAAAGTAGCATAGCAGCTGGTCTCCCAACTTTGGTCCTTAGTGTTAATGTAAATTGGGCACCATAATCTATGTCAAGTGCATTGTATGAATACCTGACTGTGTGGGCCAAATGCTTACTAGGGACTTGTGTTAGCCTGGTCCTTTACGAGGTGGTTAGTTCATGTTTGCAGTGTTGCCTAATTAAAAAAAAAAGAAATACTTTTTTGAAAGTATTTATAGATTAGTGTCACAGAGCCACAAATATTACATTGCTGGAACTGTTCAGAATATCCGTAAAATAATTTTTGCAGAATTTTAACAGTGCAAAGATGGGTTATCTCTACTGATGTCTAACACTACGTTTTGTGTTTCTACACAGCTGAGGGTTTTCAAATTGGCAAAGTCCTGGCCAACTTTAAACACTCTGATTAAAATCATTGGCAACTCCCTGGGCGCCCTGAGCAATCTGACCCTCGTCCTGGTAATCATCGTCTTCATTTTTGCTATAGTAGGGATGCAACTTTTTGGGAGAAGCTATGGGGAGAACAGCCATAAAATAAACAAAAATGGCAAACCACGCTGGCACATGATGGACTTTTTCCACTCATTCCTCGTCATTTTCCGAATTCTGTGTGGAGAATGGATTGAAACCATGTGGGACTGCATGGTGGTCGCTGAACAGCCGCTGTGCCTCCTTGTCTTTCTGCTAGTCATGGTGATAGGAAATTTAGTGGTGAGTTTTCCAATATTTTCTTCTCTTTATCCAGAGAATGGTACTGTCTACTTGATTTCCATTTTGTCAAAAATAAGGTAGTTTCTCAAAACACAGGTGAAAGAGTTACGTGTCTGTGCTATAGTCTGCAAAAGCCTCTTTTGCCTTTCACCACTGTCCATATTTTCCCATTTTGTGTGCTTTGCACACAACATCACTTGACCTTTTCATGTGGCAATGTGACAAAGAATATCTTTGCAGTGAATATAATACAGGCAAGTATGTTTCTTCATGTCTTGGGATTTGGATGTAGATAATCAGTAAGGCTTATGGCTTACCTGATTGAATTCCTGGAGTTAATTGCTTAAGTCTCTCTGTAAATCAAACTGTGGGTTTTTTTAAGATCTCACATATTGAATTCTTCATCAGCAAATGGCAGAATCCACACTTCTATCACTGAAATCAGGATTTTCTTTAATCATCTCTAAGTACGTTTACACCCAAGAGCTAGATCCTGCTACGACATTCCCTGCCATAGTGACAGTGTTGCAGATTTGATGGAATTGCTGGGCCTGAATCTGATCTCATACAGGATTTTAGAACAGCTCCATGGAGGCTTGGTTTAACTACAGTCTGAAGAAGGAAGAGACGTTATTAAACTGACAAGCCATGACCATAGCCTTTGTTACTCCTATAACCTTTAAAAAGGTGTTTCAACCAAATAATACATTTGGCATGCACAGATCTGTTTTGGCTGTTATTTTAAACATCTTTTTTGGGGAAGAGGGTCATGGGAACATTGGACTTTCTGAGAGAAGTTAACTTCATCAACCATTATGTGATAAATGATAGTAATTTAATTATTAACTTGATTTGCTCATTAAGACTGAACTTTGATAGTATCTGCGTTCTTCAAAGTTAGAGTTTAGAGTTCTACTTTCCTGATTTTTAATTTTATTATTATTTCAATGACTTTCAGGTTCTCAACCTTTTCATTGCACTACTGCTGAATTCCTTCAGTGCTGACTGCCTCCAGACGGCAGAGGATGATGGGGAGATGAAGAATCTTCGGATCGCCTTTGCTCGGATTCACAAGGGATTTCACTTTCTGAAGCGCGTTGCATGGGTTACCTGCTGTGGAAAGCTCAAGCGTATAAAGAAAGCACACAGGAAGAAAATCAAATTGACTGCACAGAACCCACTTGGGTTCAAGTCTGAGGAAACAAAAAATTGTAAAGAGAATTACAGTAGTGAATGGGCTGAGAAATACGGGGACAAATGCTCAGGTCTTGAAGATTTCATTACCAATCCCAATGTATTTGTTTGTGTCCCTATTGCTGAGGCAGAGAATACAAGCGAGGGTTTTGAAGATGACGATAAGCTGAGCACATTTACAGACACAGAATACAGCAAAGAGGTAAGAAATTTCTTTATTTGTGTTAGAATACATAAATCTATATATATACACACACACACATATATATATGCACACTGAAGGTCGCGTGTGTTGCACTGTCTCTAGATGAACAGGGTGGCATATATTAATCCATTTCCAGAGAGCTACCAAATTTTGAACTAGAAGCAAATTTTGAACATTTAGAGTGAGGGTAAATTATTACTTGGAGCTTTTTAAAAATCAAGTCTTTAGTAGACTTAAAAGAAAGACCATAAATTGTTGGGTTTGCTGCAAGAATGCCTAGCTGACACATTGTGTTACACTCATAGCCCATAGATTGTCCATAGACAATTGTGACAGTCCTTGGTGAACATGGAATTTCAATGTAAACATTTATATAAATAATGCCAACTATTTTGGCATTATTTACATGACAGAGCAAAAATATATGTTCTTCATAAGGAACACTGTCATGGGCTCATAATATGAGTCTAGCTCTGGTCCAATCTTTGTATTTGTCCTTGCTGTGTGTAGCAATTATTAGAAGAAGTTATAAGGATTAAGTATGGAGTGGCTCTATTAAGGTCATGTTTCTTGTATGATAGCATATATTAACCTATTTCTTTGTGTTCTCTGAATTTTTCAGTTCTTTTTTAACCATAGAAGACTACCATTCTAATCTCAAGATTTCCCACCTTAAATTTCTATCTTAATCCCTGTGCAAAAAATCTCACTTAATTTTTGATTATTTCACTAAAGTACTAACCCCTTAGTTTGCTGCATGTCCATTGGGAAAAACTTGCCTTTCTCTATCCTTGGGTAAAATCAGAGACTCAAAATGATCATATCTTATTATTTCAGTCTGTAGAGCTCCACTTTAAATTAAATGCATATCTTCTTTCTTTCCCATCCAATTTGTCCACCCCCCAAAAAGGGATAAGAAACCCCTTCTAATCCACAGATTATTTTCAGGATGAAAATCACCTAAGGCAAAGGGGAGAAAGAGGGAAAAATTCAGGAAGCTGGAGTAAAGGATCAGGATTTTCCTCTGAAGAATTCAGTGTACTTTACTTAGGAAAGGATAGGAAAGTTGAACTGTCATCACCAGAGCAAAAAGAGGTAACCAATTTTTTTCTATGGCATTGACTTTCCAATACTGGTTGAGCTTGGGTACGTTTTTGTTCAAGGATTTTCTGGAGTGGAGTTTAGTGGCAGCATTGCCCCTGAGCTTGCAGTAGCCAGTCTGGCTGGTGAATGACAGACCCAGAATTATGTGAATGCGATTGAAGCCCTACTGGGTTTCTAGGTATTGATTTTTTTTTTTTTAATTATGTGTAGGAAACAGAGTGTTTAGAAATGGAAAAACTACAAAATAATTTGATTCAAATAAATAATTTATAAAATTCTCTCTGCTACTTTCCATTTATTGAAATATGAATCCACAAGAAAAGGAGAGGAGGGAAATAAAAGGCATTAAAAGAAGGATATGCTTCCCAGTAAAAGGAGGAAATTCCAGCAAGTCTGCCTGTGTCCTAAGTATCTCAGTTTCAGGAAATGTAATACTTTAAATGAATTTCTCACTGTACTATTGAAGATAGTAGTTATTAATAACAAATATTTTTAGTTAATAATTTTGAATAAAGAGTATCTTAAAAATAGTAACAAACCACTACACACACATAAAAGAGCAAAACCATAAAGTAATTTGTAATAAACTACTGACTCATCATACATTATATATGGTATGATGGGAAACAGAAAAACAGTAACTGGAGAATATATGATATGTTTCCAATTTCTACTTCATAAATACTGTAATGGGTGTTTCAGTTCCTGATGCAATACTAGATATATTTTCCTGGCTCTCCAGTTTGAATGCATTTTCCTATTATTTCATGGTTTTAACCTAAGCAATTCATCCCACTTGGAGGACTATATGTACTGATAAGCAAGTTAAAAGCTGTTCAATGTGCGAGCTTGTTAGGCAGTTAAATCTGGTTCATGTAGATTGTAATTAGACAGCTTTGGCCCCTGTTTGAATGCACCTATTGTTACCTCTAAGCTCATATACTTTTAACATCACAAAATTTGTTCCATTACCAACGCTACTTGAAATATTAGTACGTAGCCAAGTTTGAATTTTAAATGTTATTTGCTCATGGATTAACTTATTCATTTGGAGCTGGTTGCAGAAGGAATCAATACCTGATCTTGTTTTGCTGTGTAGTTGGACAGTGTCAGCTCTTCTGAAGGCAGCACAGTGGATCTGACAAACCCTGAAGATCTTCTGAGGCAGATTCCAGAGTTTGCTGAAGACTTCAAGACTCCAGAAAAATGTTTTCCAGAAGGTAAGACTCTCATGGTTTCACTGCTGGGAAGCGAGAAGAGTCAAACCCAGACTTGTGTCTCTAGTGATGCTGAGCCAACAGGGTGAGATAATGTTGAGTTAATTTTAGTTATCTGGAAATCAGATAGATAGTCCAAATCATTGTCCCTCTCTAGTCAACAGAGAGATCACAGCACCTGAAAAATAAATCCTGTTTCCTTTAAAGCCAACTGCTTCTAACTGGGACCTGGGCAATGGCATAGACCCAATCCCAAAAAATGAGATTATGATAGTGAAGTGAGATGAATTTGACTCTGTTGAATAACATCACAGTCACTTCTGTAGTCTAACAAAAGAGAAGTGTGTGTGATCAGATCTCACCTGAAAAATGGGCACTGGAACAAGTCCCTTGGCACATCACATTTGTTAATACTTTGCAACAGTATAAATGTTTATTCCTTGAACAGCATTTCATGAACAATCTCTTTAAAAAAAAACCAAAGGAGTGAAATAAGCAAAGAGAAGCTGCTAAAATGAAGTTGAATTTCTATAGGGTGATAATCTGGGAATCCCTTCTCAAATAGTCATACAATGTGTAGCTTTACAAGTTGTTATGGGATGTGTCGAGAACATTTATGAATTCTTCCTACCATAACATGTGTAACAACATGTGGTTTTCATAAGATGGAAAGAAATAGCTCGTGGGATTTTTCTCAAATAAGTGTCACTGCTGACAGCCAGGGGTAATCACTGCACTCTCAGTATTAGTTGTGAGAGAACAAACTACATCAAGTCAGTTTATAAACTCATTTATTCCAAGTGTGTTATATTAAATGAATTATAACTGGCAAAATTCTTCTTGGTGCTCCAACTTGCTCTTTGCTCACCCAGTCAGCCTGGCTGACTGCTCCTATCGTCCACCCATTCCCTGAGATTTCTTTGATTCTTCTCCAGCATAAAGGTCCCCCGGATCTCTGAGCTTGTTTTCCTCCTCTGCTCCCAAAGGCAGAACCTTCCTCTTATCACCTCCTTCCCACTCAAGCATCACTTCCTGGATATCTTACCTGATGAGAACATGGGTAAACCAAATCTGGCTGTAATTCTCCCATCCCTTCATTACCCTGTTCTGCAGAGCTGGCTTTTTTTTCTTTTTTTTTTCTTCTTCTCTTTTTGGGTCAATGAAACTTTTAATGCACAGTTTTAAGATTGAATCAATAACAGTCAAGCATATAGAAATTATTCGCAGCTAGAGAGGTGTCGTACCTGCATGCAAAGTATTCTTTGTGTAGTAATAATATCTATCTATATATTTTTCTGTTATGTTATATATCGTAAATCCTGAGAGAAACCCACTGTAACTACATTGCAGTTTGCTTTCTCCAGGAAAAAAAAAAAAACACATGTATTGCATTAATAATACATAGGCCAGATTTCTGAGATACAGATTTTTTTCAAAGTCGTACCTGCATGCAAAGTATTCTTTGTGTAGTAATAATATCTATCTATATATTTTTCTGTTATGTTATATATCGTAAATCCTGAGAGAAACCCACTGTAACTACATTGCAGTTTGCTTTCTCCAGGAAAAAAAAAAAAACACATGTATTGCATTAATAATACATAGGCCAGATTTCTGAGATACAGATTTTTTCAAAACTACTTTGTCAATGGCATTTTTTGCAGCCATTAGAACAAAAGAAATAAAGTCCCCATCTTGTGCAAGTGCCATTCCCTGCCTCATCTCAAATCCCAGATCCACATTGCTGGGAAAAATAGGATTACTGAGAGAAAGACGATCAGAAATTTTTGCTTATTTTATATTCTATTATATGTGTGGCTTGTATATACCATAGTATATAGTATGTATATAAGATAACATATATATTATATATATATATATATATTTCATGCTTGGTAATGACAGAAGCCTTCTGACTGACATTTTTCACAATAAGGAAAATTTTAATTAGCCTAGAGCACACAACAAGGAAAATGTTAACCTAAGTGACTTAATTCTTGTCAAAATTAATAAGTAATTAAATCCAGGATTTTGTAGTGAAGTGGTCAAGAAATGTTAGGTGGCATCATTTCTGTTATAAGAAGCAATCAGGTGAGCTTGAAAGAGGTCTCCTTTTAGGGAGCCTATATGTCAGCTAGAATATATTATATTCTTGCAGGTTATATTATTTAAAAACAGTCACTCCATAGATTCAGAAGCAGAAATTAATAGACCTTGCAAGGCAGGATATAACTCTGCAATGCTGAAGACAACTGCTTACCTTCTCTGTCTCTGAGCCTTTTTGCTCCGGGGTATCTCATCTCTGCTTTCCAAACATTGTGCAGAAACTGAGAAAGGATTTTACAACATAGAGACTCTTCCCATGGCCCTGAAGTTTTGTGTGCCCAAACACCAGGTCACTGAGAGCATTGCCAGCATCTCAGAAATATCTAGAAACAACAGAAAATTGTCCAAAGGCACTCCACCTACTTTATGTGTATATAAATAGGAGTTAAAAGACAAACTAAATTAGGTATATCCTTTTTTTTTTCTTCATGGCAAAACATGAGAAAAACCCAACAATGATGCAGTTAACGTAACCATGGACTTCCCTCTGCCACCAGAAGTGTCTTGAGCAGCCCTTTGTACACACGTACATTCATTACATACATTCATTACTGTCTTTCACTTTCAGGTTGTGTTCGATACTTTCGTTGTCATATGGGTAGTGCTATAAAGTTTGGAGGAGAAACATGGTGGGATCTGAGAAAAACCTGCTACGAGATTGTTGAACACTCCTGGTTTGAATCCTTTATTATATTCATGATTCTTCTGAGCAGCGGAGCCCTGGTTAGTGTAGCACAATTTAATCTATTTACTTAGAAGCATTTTTAGCTTTAATTTGCACTCAGAGATGTTTTCGGCAGAAAACAGCAAATATCTTAGAACTCATCAGGAGAAAAAAAAGAGGCCTCATGTAGCAGTCATTTATTCGCTATGGCAATTGCTGAAATTTATTATTTACATTATTACAAATTATGAGATAGAGGGAGCAATGCTAAAAATACATAGCTCTCAGAAGCTGTTTCTGTTCTGGCTGTATACTGGATTTTTATGGCTTTCTCTGGAAGTTATTTCACAGTTGTGGATTTCTTTTTTTATGTTATTAAACTAAATAAATTTATACTTGGAAAAAAATAGTACTTGGTATTCTTGAAAGTCTATTTTTAGAAATCCATTTTAAGAAGTTTATACTTTCCTTCTAGGATCTTACTGTGCATGATGCATGTGTCCACACGGTTTATAACTTAGAGAAAAAGAAAGAGAAGGGATAGGGAGAACTACAAATTTATCAGCTGGCATAGATTTGAGTAAAACATGGAGTCTGGGTCTGTATAAAACACATGTTGAATGATGAAGGGGTCTTAATGATGCCAGGCTTTCATTTTATAAAGCTCATCTCTGAGTTTTGCATTTATTTATATATTATGATTTCAGGCATTTGAAGACATCCATATAAATGAGAGAAAAAGCATCAAAATTATGTTGGCGTTTCTTGACAAAATGTTCACTTTCATCTTTGTTCTGGAGATGCTCCTGAAATGGGTGGCTTATGGTTTCAAGAGGTATTTCACCAATGCCTGGTGCTGGCTGGACTTCCTTATTGTAGACGTAAGTTCTGGTTTTGGCATTTCTACATGGGTCCATGCAGTAGCAGAATCACTGACTGCTTTCTGGATGTGAAGCTAAGACAGTGCTGTCACCTCCTTTAGTGATGGTTTCAGGATATTGCACTCTGGGGAGTGAAAATTTGAGAATTGTTTGGTTTGTTTGGGGTTTTTTTTGTTTTGTTTTGTTTTTTAATCAGGAACAAAGGTAATGGACACTAGGATATTGCTAATACTTCCTTTTGTCTTCCCATTCAGGTCTCTTTAATAAACCTTCTAGGCAGTTCATTTAGCCCTGTGAAATCTCTTAGGACTCTCCGAGCTCTGAGACCGTTAAGGGCATTGTCACGATTTGAGGGGATGAGGGTAAGACTGAATACAATTTAAACCCTGTCAGTAATAATTAGCACATAACAGGTTTGTAACTCATGACTGTGTCTTTATGAAGTTCACATGTCCACCCCAAGTTCAGTTTAGGACCTGTAAAATAAAGTCAGTAATAATTAGCACATAACAGGTTTGTAACTCATGACTGTGTCTTTATGAAGTTCACATGTCCAGTTTAGGACCTATAAAATAAATTTCTAAAAGGTATTTTTGCTGCCCTCCTCTGTACTCAGCTGCTCCTTACAGACTCAAGTGACTG